CTATGCATTTTGGTTTTAGTATCACTTTGATTCACATGACAATTGGAAGCACCAAGAAAAATACACAAAATAATCAAATGATTTAACATAGAATGCACTAAACTACATTATTGAGTTGGCTGGATAATCTATTTAAAAAATTGCCCCATAAAGTGGGGAAAAGAAAGTAGAACTTTTATGCAAGATGACTAACAAAATTGGGCATTGTACAATGCCTTAATTTTTGGGAACCTGAAACTAAACTAGCAACTGAACTGAACTGAACTGAAGCAGCAGCAGCTGCAATATGAATCACATCTCCGGTTTTTGAATTCGAAATTCAAGTTAGAATATTCGGATTAATGTTAGGTAGAGAGATGGCAAACATGATTGCTGATCAAGCTTAAGCGCCACCAGAACCATACTTCTTTCCGAGTACAAGTAATTGGAGTTTGTCGTAGCCAGAGAGGACACCAGCACCAGCGATAGCACGAAGAATGTTTGCACCAGCACCCTTGAAAAGGGACTTTGGACCCTCATTCTTCAAGATTTGAGTAAATGCATCCATTGAACTTTTGTATTTCACTGCTTCACCAGATGTCATCATCATTCTTCTACGAACAGTGTCAATCGGATAGGATGCTAGTCCAGCACCGTTTGTTATTAACCAACCTAGTGCAAAGCTAGCAAAGAAGCTATCCTGAAACCAATAAACAACAAGACAAATAATTTATCACAGCAAACATGTGTATGCAGATGCTTCTTTCATGTTTTTAATACTGATGGGAACCATTTAATAGCCTTGTTCGTGAATATACACATAATAGGGCTTCGATAAGCCCTGGATGTTAGGGTAGATGGATTGCTTAACCAAGACTATATCAACCTGAGCTTTATAAGTTCAGCCACTACACAAGCCGCTAGTGGAGAAAACTCTCGAGCTTCCCTTCATTCATTATTAAGCTCGGCTTTACTTTCTCGAAGAATCCTGTATCCATGGACATAAGGCTTGGCAGACCTTCCCTTTCTGCCGGACCCAAACAAGTATGGATTTGCCATGACATTTGAATACTTTTCACGTAGACTAGAAATGCTCAATGACAATTTCCAAATGAATCGATACTCAACAGTATTGAAGGCATATGTTTTAGACATCCAGTATCAAATTTAAACAATAAGATCATCACGGACAGGATCACTAGAGTTTGCACAAAACAGAATTTGACAATGTCTAGTTAGTACAGTCGCAGCATTACCTGTAGCGAACCAGTGAGGACAACCGGCTTCAAAGAATCATATAAACCAAAGTAGAGACCGCGGTACACAATGATACCAACACATGAGATATTGAATCCACGGTAAAGTCCAGCAACTCCATCAGATGCTAATGTCTTCTTGTAAACATCAACCATACCATTGAACTGTCGATCTCCTCCTCCTTTTGCAGCCTTAGCATCATTAGCTAGCCTCGTTCGGGCATAGTCAAGAGAATAGACAAAAAAAAGGGAAGATGCACCAGCTGCACCTCCTGATGCAAGATTACCAGCAAACCATTTCCAGTAACCGTCTCTGTCCTTTTTGAAGTTAAAAAGCCTCTTGAAGTAATCCTTAAACGCAAAATTCAAGGCCTGCACAAAAAAGTGAAAGAGATAAAATATATAGCACGAGATCAACGAAATGAACAAGGGATCTAAATTGTCTTGAGAAAGTAACGAACCTGAGTTGGGAAATAACGAATAACGTTTGCTGTGTTGCCTCTCCACAAAGACATAACTCCTTCCTCCTTCATTGTTCTGCTAAAACATTCAGCTATGCCGCCGTATGGTTTAGATAACCTCCCAGCCTTGATCATCTCATCCTGATTTTGGATCAGGAGTTTGACACGCTCAATTGGAGCAGCTGCTGTCTTTGAAACAGCTGCTGAGACACCACCCATAAGAAAATCAATTGCAAAGCTGGTAAAGCCTTTCTCTGAAGGAGCTTGGACGAAAACTGGCGATGAGTAAGATGAAACCACGGGCATCCCTTCACATCTATGCAACCAGGGCTTAGTCTGACTTCCATATTTATATTGCCTTTGGTATGCCATAAAATCTCGATTTTGCGTAGATCTACCAAGGAAGTTTCCAGCTGCCTTGTGAGTAACAGAGGGGTATTGCGGCTGATCCATCGTCATCTCTGTCTCTATACATCAAGAAATGCAAACATGTAAATGAAATAGATTTTTCTTATAATTACTAGACATGTATAAATGACTATTTCTCCATAACTTTTTTTTTTGGTTTCTCATCCCAGATAGCGCACTACTGGACCCATTCAGGTGTGGTGCTCCCAACAGAATTTTCCCCATATCTAGGGCTCAAACCCGAGAACTCTGATAACTAGATGAAGCACTCCCATCAGTGCATCACAATCTATATGTCCATAATTATAGATGAATCCTCAGTAACCATATTTCTCCATTTGAATTAAAACAAAAATTAATAAAAAAGATGATATGAATCATGACGAATGCACCATAATTTATTCAGGCTTATGCTCAAAACTGATTATAGTAACGATATCAGTGTGAGAGTGTCTAGAAAACGAATCTAGGTTCTATTTTAGTTTCACAAGCCAAATTCAACAAATTATTAAACCGAGAGTCTATCAAAAACTATCTGTCTAACAATATATCCTCCACTAGTGGGGTTACACTAGTATCTAGTAAATATACAATTGTTCAAATGCTAAATATCATGTCAAAGTGATCTTATATACATTTTTCCAAATAAATATCACATAAAAAGAAACAAATTTTCATCTAAAAAACTTAAACAAATCCTACCTTTTTCACTCTTTGAAGAATGTAAATACAAGTTTAATTTGTTTTTGTTTTTTTGAAGAGAAAATAAAGAGAAGGTTAGTACTAACCTGATAAATGAGATTAAAGTATTTGGGAATTATGGGTTGCTTTTTAAGTAAGATATAGAGAAGAGAGAGTCTTTCTCTTGCCTCTAAGAGTGGAGTCAAAAGTGGAGATGATAGGTACAGAGATAATTAAGGCTTTTAACTATGACATTTCTAACTAAACTATTGTTGTGACTTTCTAATTTTCAACTAAAACTATTTTAATTTTTCTACATTTTTTCAATGCCACTTAATATTTTTAAATTTAAAATTTTTTTGTAAAAGAAATAAAACAAGAGTTTTAAGTTTTGCTTTTGGAACTTTTTTTTTTGAGTGGCTTTAACATCTATTTTTAAAATTGAAAAAGACGGTAGTAAATTACATAAATCATCTATATATATATATATATATTATTTAAACAAATTTACTAGTATAGATATAAACATAAAATTAATAAAATAAACGAAATGATTTAAGACATATTTTTGTCTTATATTAGCATATTTCATGGTATTAAATTCTATGTATTTATTAATAATATCTCCATGTGGAGGTATTAGTAAAAAATTCTACAATAGCACGTAGGGTTATTAATCCATAAATTAGTTATACATAATTTCATATTTATACTAAATAATATCATGTGTAATACATAAACAATTTCTCTTAATACTCCGTATAAACTATCCTTAAGATATAATGTTACTTTTTTTTTCATGATTATATTTTATTTGAAGATTTTGACTTTTCAATACTTTTACTATAAAAAGTATGTGTTAAAACACAATACTAATAAAGATAATAATTTATTCTACTATATGTTCAATGGTCAATAAAGCTACAAATCAACTAGTAATAATGATGGAATTCACAATAGATTGAATTTTAAATTGGTGAATAAAGTAGGCTTACAAAGAGTGAATTGATTGAGAAATATATATGTTAGTTGAAGGGTTGTGTTCACAACTCAACTCATGGTATTTGTATAATGACATTACCTTAACTATAGTCATTAATTTGCAATATACAAAGAAAAACGATTTCTTAAAAAATATTTACTTTGAAAAATAGTTAGATTTCTTATTATTTTTTAGTGTTTGTTAAATAAAAAAAATATGTATTTCAGAAGTATTAATATGCAAGCTAGTTAAATATTATGAGGATTTTATTAATTTTAATAATAATTTTGTTTGATTTAATAAAAAGAAAGTCTATTTTGTACTCTATCATGTAGCCTTTTTTATTCCTAAAAAATAGCATATAAAATAGAAGGCTAAGAGGGAGATAATGAAATTATGTGATTGAATTTTCCAAAACCAAAGGAATAACACCCACCCCAAATTCCTTTTTTGTTAACTGATCTATCTAATGGTTCAACAAACAATTAATTATAATATATCTTTAAATTTTAAATAACAAATAAAATACTAGACTAAGATTCTAAATAAAGGAGGATAAATAAATTGAACCCTATTTTATTTAAAACGTCAATCAATTATGTGCTTCAATATAAGAATCGAGAGTAAACGCTATAGCTTGTTTCCATATTCAACAGCATGATCGAACTAAAATTTTGCGATTTCAAAGTCTCTCCATTGAATAGCTTGTTCTCCCCAATAGGATAGATAGTTCAATTCCTTATAGCTTGTTCTCCCCAATAGGATAGATAGTTCAATTCCTTCCCTTAGAACTGTACTTAAAATATTTTTAGTCAATTCGGATGGGAAGGAGGGCAAAACGGTCAAGAGAGTAGATTTGGAGACGGTGGGTTCACGGGGATGAAACCACATACTTAAAAATTACTTACAAGTTAGAAACTTGTTTCTCGATATTAAAAAAGTCATTTTGCTTATTTTGAAGGAGTTATTTTTGCTATGTAAAAAATATTTCGCCGTACCACACCCCAGATCCACAGGTAAATACGTTTTAGACCATTGTAGTTAGATCTGGAGTTAATTCCCATTGATTAAAAACTCAGCAAAATAAATAATAAATAAATAAATAAAAGAGAAAAAATTCTCTAACGGTCAAAAAAAAAAAACCAAAAAGAAAGGCTCAAAATCCCAACGGTCTTGTTAAAATCTCTTTGTTGTCAGCTCCTTCAACAACAAAGAAACGTTGCATTTTCACCTGTGAATTCATTTTTATTCCTCCAAATTTTATCTGGGTTTTGTACATACTCTGTTCATTCTTCAAGAACCATGGAGATAGCTGTCATCGATTGGAAAACCATTGATTCAAGATTTGTTAAAGACGATCTTTATGAGCATTTTAAAGCTCCTCAATGGGTCGATTTCTTCGCCCCCGATGCTCCAGTTGATGATGATGCTTGGTTCTGCAGACCTGGTAAAAAAAATTTGTTCTTAAATTTCACTTCATTTTGGGGATTTCTGTGTTAACTTCTTCTTGTTTTTTTTGGAGAACAGAGTGTAATCATCCAAAGACAGTGGAAGATTTCTATAAAGTAGCTACCCCTTCCTCCTCTTCGAAGGTTTGTGCTTTCTTCCTATTTCTGAAATTCCCACAAGTGGGGTATTGTAATTTGAGTGTTTTTGCTAGTTTCTAAATTCTTGTGGGTAATGGTTAGTTTCTTGAGAATCAAAGATCTGCTCTGTTATTTGACAAATTTGTGATTTACAGCTTCAAAGATCAGCTAGTGTATCTGATATTCCTCTTGGGGAACGGAATAGGAGGTATGACAAATGGAAAAAAAAATAAAATTTATGCAATCGTTTCTACATGAGTTTTTATTTGGACAAGATTATGAATTCATAAATGGTGTTTTTAATTTCAGAGATGCAACATTGAAGAAGAGGGGGCTAATTCAACCGTTGGTATCACTGAATAAGGATTATAAATGTGACAAGATTGTTGAAGATGGTGAAAATCAGAATCCCAATTTTGCAACCCCTCCAAGGTTCAAGGCTAAATTGATGAAACAAACAATCAAGTCGAGCGCGGAGAAGAAGCCAGTTGATGAAAAAGAGGAACATATACCAAAGCTGAAAAGTACTCTTTCAGCTAGGAATCTTTTTGCTGGTGGGGATTTGTTGAACAAAGTGTCTGAGTTTTGCAATGAGCTGAAGAGATTAGTAGTTACCAGGACTAAAGAGAGAGAGAAGTGTGCAGATGAGAACTTGGAGACAAGTCCATTAATCTTTGATGATAAAGAAAGGGAAAGGAAGCCATTGCTGGAGATGAATAAAGAGACTAATGAACTAGTGGCAAAGAGCAACACTAAGGACAAACAGAGAAGGAAACTGTAAGTTTCTCTTCACATACTTTATTTAGTCAACCAATTTTTTGCATCGAAAATACTAGTTTCAGTTGAACGCGTAGCTTATAGTTGAATAGTTACCCAAATGAAACAATTGGCTGAGCAAATACATTATTAGAGGTGTACTGAGTATAACTGGTGGTGAACTCTATCTATGCAGGAGAAATGATAATGCAGAAAACACACCAATACTTGTGGATGTGAAGAACATTAAGCGCAGAGATGAAGAAATTTTGTCTCAGATCCGCACAAATCCTCCCACTCCTCAGTGTTTCTCAGCCAGCCGGGGAGTTACAAAGGCTGCTCCATCTAAGCCTTTGAAATCTAGGCCTCTGGTATGTGTAAACCATATTGTCCCTAGATTGAATTTTGCAGTTCCAAGACTCGCAGACAGTAGTAACCTGTGATCTCCTCACTTTCTGCCTAATGATAATTTTCGACTTCTTGTGACGTGTTTTTGGTCCATTATCTCCTTGCAATCCTCACCTTATGAGCCAACTTATCATGTCGATTTAAAGACTAGTCCAAGGGTCTATTTCTATATAGTTTCAGTGCAGTACAGTCTGCAATTTTAGCTACCACCAACTAATCTTCAAGATTCGATTTCATATGATATTCGAGACGAGCTTTGGCCTAGAATCAGCACTATTTCATATGATATTCGATTTCATTAAGACATTGCTTGTTCTGTTGTTACCACCACTAGCTTGTTCTTGATTGATTGTTCTGATAATAAAAAAAACAAAAGAGTATTTATAATGCTTTGAACTGTTGGTCAAAATAATCCTGGGATTGATTAACACTGAATTTGTATGAAATAAACATTAGGAAACAAGAGGGATCCTTCAAGAGCTGGAACAAAGCAGCAATGAAGTGAAGAGAAAGGAAGATCCAGGGAAGATGATGACTAGTAACAATAATCAACAAGGGCAGAGAGGTGGTGGTGTTATTGTTGCTGAAAAAGAAGCTGCAAGAGCTTTGGATGTTTTCTGGTTCTTGAAGCCTTGCACACTTGCCAGCTAAAAGGTTCAAGCCACACACCACTGTTGCTGAACAAACATTTCATGAAGTGCTTACTCCTCCATACTTGAAAAAGTTGTCATTTTGTTTTTCCATATTCTTTCATTCTTTATAGTTTCTGATACACTCAATCAATCTATGAGTTTTTTTACCCCCTTCTGTGAGGAAAATAAGTTGTAAGAAAACAGTTCAAAGGTCCAGAATATTAAATAACATTATCCTTTTATTGATGGAAAAAGTTTATTTTTAGAATATATATATCTATTAGAAAGATAAGATTGTGATTGATTCTTGCCATGAGAACCTAAAAAGCTCTCAGCTTTATCTCCATCTCCATTTATTTTTATCATGAAAAAGAACCCCACAGCAGAAAAAGGAGTCCCCCCCTCATCTTTTTCACTTGGCAATAATTCTCTTGGAACAGTGATAAGCCAAAACAGCAATATTCAGATCTTGTTTGTCTTAACAAAACATTATAAACTAATTTTGAATTATGCATAGAAACAAAAACAATTGCAACCAATAATTACCCTTTCTTTATTAATGCACTTTGATTTAACATGAACCATCAAATCTCTGAAACAAAAAAACAAAGCCTTGCAGAGAGAACCACCAAACAAATCCACAAACCCAGAGTTATATTGTAAGGCTGAAACTTGAAAATTGAAAAAAAAAACATATTATTTACAGAGGGGGTTCAAGTTTAGTGAATCTTGAATAAATCTACCTTGTAGTGACACAAAACATACAATTCAAGAACCTAGCCCAAACATGTCGTAGCCTTGGATACATCCTTCCTGTATAAACACTTGATTCCCTACAAAGATCCTCCATAGTTTCCACAAAAAGATTCAAGCTTCTCATCGGAGGTATATACAGAGTCAAAGGCACTGCAGAAAACGCCACTGCAAAGAACAAGTGCAGCATCTCCACTTAAAACCAAAAAGATTGATTTTTTTTTTCTTCAAAAAGCTAACAACTTTGGATTTTCTTGAGAAAATCAAGAAAAGGGGGTTTTGTAATGAGATTTTTGGAGGATTGTTGTAGTTGTGGTTTTGGTGAATGATTTTGGGGGATTGAGATTTGGATGAACTTGGACCAATTTTGTTCATATATTAAATCAGATTGTGACGCGCGTGTAATAAAAGCTATTACATACTCGGTCTCATATTACTCGATCACTTTTCCTTTTATATTCCTATTAAAAATATAAATATTAAATATTTTAAAAGAGGATTTTTAGTTATAAAGATAAGAAAAGCTTAATTAATAATAATTTTTTAATTAAATTAATAATTAAATAAAATAACTATTTTTAATATGATAATCACGATATCGCGAGAATAATAAAAAAAGACCAGCCGTCTGTTTCTTTCCCATTTTTTTACAGCACCTGGTTGTCATCCGTGGTTTTGAGGTTCTTTTTAAGGGAGTAATGGGACATTTGGATAATTTTAATTGGATAACATATCATAGTTCATTTGGTTTATATTAAGTAATAATAAATTATGGAGATATGATACACTTTTTACAAAATAATTAAGAATTTCATTAAATGAGGATATATACAGAAAAAAAATCAATATTTTTAAATAATTAACTTATTTTTAAGTATTAAAAGAATATCAATAATTTACTTAATGTGAATCAAAAGGTGTATTATAATATTGCTAAAATTAAATATTTTTACTTATTTAGTGTAGATAATTAAAAATAATTGATTTTAAATTTATTTTTGTTATTAATTAAATCATTTTTAATGTATTTTATTTTCTGTGATAAATTTATTATATTTAAGAGTGGTGATTTTGTTTGGACAATCTTGTGTTTAATGAGTTTAAATGTATTGTATGGCTGAAATTTGTACAACTAAATCTTAATTATTGCACAAATTAGATTGATGCCTAAGAAATAGGCAGGGGTTTTGATAGGTGTATTAGTGAAAATAACAAGTGAAAATATGTGTTCTTAATGTAGGTATTGTAATCGATATAGCTAATTGTCATTATTATTTTGCCGCGTTAATTAATTATATCATTAGATTTTTAATTATCAGTTTCTATTAACTATCACGGTTAATCACTTACATGTTATCACTATATCATATATATTTTGGAGAAAAGGGTCTGATATACCCTTCAACTTTATCATTTAGAGCTGATATACCCCTTGTTATGAAAGTGACTTATATATACCTCTACTTATAAACAAATGACTCACATATACCCTTTTCCTCTAACGGAAATGAAAAATAATAATTTTTATCTAAAATTTTATTATTTTTTTCTAAAAAAAATATAATCCCATATGAGGTAAATTTTATTATTTTTTTCTTTGACTTTTTTCTTTCAATGTCTAATTTATAATTATTATTTTGATAATCATATTTATTTATATTTCACTAATATTCTTGTAAAACTTATTGTAGATGAACAAATTTTTTATTCGAATACAAAATTAAATTACAATACACACAAAAAAATAGTTTAATTTTTCTCTTTAAACTAATGAATGAAAGAAAAAACAAAATAAGAATAAGAAACTCAAATAATTATAATAAAAGAAGTCAAAAAATAATTCATGTATGAAAAAATTTAAAATGTACCTTGAACTTTGATAGAAGAATCATATATACCCCTAAATAATTTTTTTTAAAGATTAGAGGTAATAAATATAAATTTAAAACTAATTTTTTAACTTCCGTTAAATGAAGGGTATATGTGAGCCATTTTGTAACGGCAGGGATATATATGAGCCAATTGTATAACGATAAAGGCATATATGAGCCACTTTTATAACGAGGGGTATATCAACTCCAAATAACAAAGTTGAGGGGTATATCAAATCCTTTTCCCTATATTTTGTCTACATCTATTATTACACGAAATCCACATATTCCTTAGTTGTTATGTGACCTAAAAACCTTAAAATTTCTATCTTATTTTAGTGTTTATTATTTATCTTTTTTTCTCTCTCTATGGCCTCTAATAATATTTTTATGAATAGAGATCTAAATCGAATTACTTACATCAAATCAACTGTTATATATTTTCTAAAAAAAATTAAAGATGAGTTAGCATTTTTATCATAAATTTGTGTATCTTTTTATTTAATAATTTAGGCGAATTTTAATTTGTTACTTTTTTTTCTTTTTAATGAAAGTTATGTAGTGTATAAAATTTATTTTTCCGTTAGAAAAAAGCTAAAAAATCACGCTCCTTAAAAAAATGAGAAGCAAAAAAATTGTGTTTTAATACGTTCAACAAACATAGAAAGAAAACTAAAAAAAGTAAAAAAAGTTGATGGTACCAAAGATTAAATAAGTCTAATTTTTTTATGAGAAATGCGTGTATGGCAATTTGACTATTTAAAAAGTGGGTAGTGGTTAATGGTACTCGAAGCCACAGGGCAGACCTAGTGAGTTCTAGATTCATGTAACAAATACACGATAATGAATTTTGATTTTTATAATTCTTTGATATTTTGATATATTATGTCTTTATTCTGAATATATTATTTTTTGTATTAATATTGTTTTGATATATCATGTAATTGATATATTTATTTGATATCGCGTAAAATAATATATGTACATGAAAATATAGTTGGGAATGATATTTATCAATAAATGACTCAAAGTAACAATGTTGGTCTGTTTCCTCCTCATATGATCGAGAAATGCATGTTCATCGTAAGGAGATTGTTTGTACTAATATGGAGGAATTATATTAAAAACTAGCACACTATAATTTATTGTTCATTTTTATTTTATTGAATTAAAGTTTGATTAACTAAAGTCAAATGAAATAATTACTTAAGTGGAGAATAATTAGTTTTTAATAATTTATGATTCATTTTAATAATTTTTTTGTTTATTTCGTGATATTGAATAAATAAGTTAGACTATTTTAATAATTTTATTTAAAAAATTAAATATTACAATTTTTTTATCATATATCTAAATAAAACTTTAACTTATCTTATAATTTTATATTATAATATCATATCATAATTTTATATTGCATGATAAAATGATCCGTGGAAAAAAACACAAAACAAATGAGGCTAATACAAAACCACTTTGTAGGTATATTGTTTTGGTGGCTGAGATCCTTTGCATAGAAGCCCTCGAATTTCAACTTGAGTAACCAAATTGGCTTTTTAATTCACAATAAATATAATATCTTAAAAAAAAAAAAACTCGAAAGTTCTTTAAATCTACCAAAATTTGGTTTTAGTTGGAATATCATAAATGTATCACTACTATTAAAGTTCTTTTCGTATTTGGATCATACTAGAGAAGTCTAGGAGAAACACATGTACTGATCAATGAAGTTTTCCATTTTGCTCCATACATTTAATTCATTTTTTTAAAAAAATTATATATTTGTATAAAAGAAAATCTTAAATTTGACCACGTGGCATTATCACAAACAAGAGTTCTCTTTTAAATTTATTTGTTTTCATAATTATTCTTCATCTTTCATGATAAAATGTGACCTTTCTACAGAGTTGTAACTTTTTTAAAGAGTCATGAAATTTTCGGTAAAGAAAATACACATTTGTTCACATTATCCTCTTTGTCTATAAATAGAGGGATTTCCTCTTATTTTAAAACGATGAAACATCTGAAATAATTCTTCTTCTTTTACACAATTAAATTAAATATATGTATATTTTGCTCCTATTGAATGACTCACTGAAACCATTATTACTGTATCAATACACTTGTTAATAGAGTCATTCTATACTTTGAGGATCTACTCCTTTAAACCTTAGGTACTAGACAATAATAATTTACTTTTAATGAGACATTGCGCATTCAATGAACTCATTTTTTTTTTATGTTTCATTCTATTGTTATGGATCCTAGTATATTTTTTACAGTCATTAATTTATTTTTATGATATTACTTACTGTTTATGTTTTTTTTTAAATTATTGTAATAAGTATTTGTTAGTAAAAGAAGATTATTTATCTATTAAAAATTTAATATTTCATGTTGATTTTCATTTAATTTATAAAAAAATATCAAATAGTAATATTTTCTGAAGGTAAAGGATAAATTATAAAATGAAATTAAAGATAATTGATTGTAAGGATAAATGATAAGATGATATAATTATCATTTTTTTTATATTATTAATATTTATTACTACATAATCTTATATGTAAGATATCATTGCACGAATAATTTTACTAGTATTTATTATGGTAAGGGACTCCAAATCTCACCAA